TAATAGCCTTGTATCTTGATGCGAAACTAATACTACATTATAGCATGAAATAACATGCATGGAAAGAGAGAAGAAATTTTATAGGTGTATATGTATATGCATACAACACACATATACTGTAGGGATGCACAAACACCCCAATATATGTGTGTGTGTTACTGTTATTTATCTGATGGCTTTACATTACCTTATACTGATCAATGACTGTAATGAAGATTCTGATTTTATTTTATTATTTATAAAAGTATACATTATATTTTCATATCAAGACTTGCTTTGGACTTCCGGTGGTGTAGTGCTGGCGATGTCGGCTACTTTGTAGTCGTCCTCCTGAGACAGCGTTAAAACCGCTGAGAACAGCAGGCATCAGCTCTTCCGCGGTTTAAAACCTCCTTCCCGGGCCAAGGGAGGGAGGGGAGTTTCACCCTGAATAGTGGTAGAGCCTCTGAAATCCCCAAAGGATTTGTTGAAAAGTTGGATTTTCGTGTTGAAGAAGTTGCAGACAAAGTGGAGGTGTTGGAGGAAAAATTTGAAGGCATGGAAAAAAAGATGGAAAATTCACAAGATGAGATTCTTATGTTTCAATATAGAGAGATGGAACTCGCTTTAAGAATCAGAGGCTTGAGAGAAAATTTGCAAGGAGACCTGAGAGAGATGGTTGCAAATGGCTTTGCTGTGATTTTGGATAGAGAAAAAGAGGAAATATTCAGAGAAATTGAAAAAATATTTAGAGTCAACTCTTGGGTTGCAAAGCAAAGAAATTTGCCAAGGGATGTGGTAATTTACTATGGGAAAAGATCCCTGCACAATGAAATTATACAAGCTTTTTACAATAAGAGGTTTCAGATTGCTGCACAAGATGTTATAATTTTAAAGGAGATCCCATATAAAATTTTAAAAAGAAGAAAGGAGTTTGCTTTTTTAGCAGATGAACTTAAAAAGAGGCAGATGCCATTTAGATGGGATATTCCAATTGGAATAGTGGTAAGCTATGCGAGGATACATCATAGACTTAATACTGTTTTTAAAGCAAAGGAGTTTTATACTTCGGTCCTGGGAGCACACTCATCACCACCTATAATGTTTAAAGTTCCGGAAGAGAAGAAGGTAGAACAGCAGTCTGAAGAAGCTGTATTGATGAAAGTTGGAAAACTACAGACTGAGGGGTCTCAACAAGTCGAGATGAAGGAGCAGAGAATGACTCGGGCAGTATACAAACGCAAGGAAAAGGAACAACAGAAAAAGGAGGTTAAAGAAGTATTATAAGAATTTGTTTCTGAGTCTGTGGGAGAAGCAAGACCTAAGAGTTCTTTGGTGCAATCTTCAATGGCAGATCTTCAAGCAGCTTTCTCAAGGTTATTGGATAAGAGAGATGGGTAAGAATGTAAAGATTGTTCCAAGGTTATTGACAGATTATAGCCCATTGCGGATGGAACTGGTTATTGGAAAAGAGGAGAGAAGATTATGGAGACTGAATGAAAACTTTAGATAAGAAGTGTATGCTTAGAAACTTAAGGAGTATTTAAAGGAATATTTTGTTTTAAATATGTATAAGGGAATTTCAATGGTATAAGTAATGCTTATATGTGTGCTGATTGTGATGACAAAAAAAGATGGATAAACTTTATATAATACAAGTATGATATTAGAAAATATTGTTTAGCTTTCTGAATAATTTATACTTAAATTTATACTTAAAGTTTATAATATTTTAATGGCGGACTAGATTCCAATTAATTTACTTTATATGAAATATGATATTTTGTAATGTTATTAAGTTAGGGAGATGATTAGTTTATTAATTGTGAAAGAAACAGAAGTTGTGAATTATAGATAAAATAAATTATAATGGTAAATTGGTAGGATTGTAATGACAAAGAAATTATTTTAATGTTAAATTTAATTATAGTGGTATGGTTGTTAATAGGATAGTATTGGAAGAAGGTTTTTTTCTTTTTCTTTTTCTTTTCTTTCTTCTATTTCTCTTTCTGTTTTTCATACATAATGGAGTTAAAGTACTTAATAATTCGTTTATTGAATGTAATTATATTTATTTGAGGTTTATTTGAGTTTAAAAGTTTTTCCTTTTAAGTTCTAGTTAACCCTGTATTCAGCTCTGGGAAGAAGGGGGGAGGGTTTTGGGGAGGGTTGGGAGGGATTGGGGAAGGGTTTTTTTATTGTAAAATTGTAAAAATTTATAATAATAATTAAAAAAAAGACTTGCTTTAACCTAATGTAGATGATGGAGAAATCCAACTTTTCTTGTCTTAAAAGTCCAGGATTTTAGATCAAGCTTCTTCTCAGTAACTTCTAATAAGATGTTCCAACTTCAGCAGTGTTTTGTTCTGTTTTTTTCTTCTAGTCAGTCCCTTCCTGATTTTGCTTCCTCCTACTAAGTCCACAGTTGCTGAATTTCCCTTTCTCCAGGAAAGGAAATCTTCCTTTCTCCACTCTCCAATTTTATCTACTTTCCTCCAATGGGTCCACAGTCATTAATCCTTGATACAAAATGAATTAATGCATGTAACACAACACATACAATCATCTTCATTGGGAAAAAAAGACATCTGACTCTTATATATTTCCACCAGGCCTGCTTATACGTTCTTAATTATACATGATTCTTTTAGGAAACTATGTGAAACTTTATATTAAGTGAGTTAAACTTTACATTAAATGGATTAATAAACAATAATAATTATTTATTAATGATAATACTTGGTGAGCAAGGTATTATAGCAACTCTTAGCAATTTTTATTTTTGAATTCTGTTATGGACATAAATGCATGGACACATAGACATTCTTTACTACATTGTCTAGTCAACATTGATCTTTATGCACTGTCTCCTTATCAATATGTAATTTATATTACTTATTTGTAGGTTTAGAACCTAAATAGTAAACTGTATCAGGTTACTGAAGTTATTAAATCTTATTTTGTCTAATGTCTATTTCAGTTATATTCATTTATTAACCTTTATAAACCTATATGAATAAATGAATTTATGAATGCATGTTGTAATAGTTTCTAGCCAAGCAATAAGAGGAAAAAAACTACCAATTATACATGCCATGTATAAACATAATTGTAAAGAAAATTAGATTCAAAATATTCCTTAAAGTTTCCCAAGAGCAAAGAGTGTTCTCTCTTTCTTACATATGCATACATAAAATATTGCATGTCACCATGTATTTCCTCTATGTTCAGTATAGCAACATTTCAAGCAAGGAGATTCAACATAAAAATGGATCCAGGAAATTACAGACCTATCAGCCTGACCTCAATACCTGGGAAGATCCTGGAAAAGATAATCAAACAACGAATCAACGAACACCTAGAGGCAAACAAAGTCATTACTAAAAGCCAACATGGGTTTGTCAAAAATAGATCATGCCAGACAAATCTTATTGCATTCTTTGACCAAGTGACAAAATTAGTGGATCAGAGGAATGCTGTGGACATAATTTACTTGGACTTCAGTAAGGCATTTGATAAAGTAGATCACAACCTACTACTTGACAAGATAGAAAAATGTGGGGTAGACAGAACCACCACCAGATGGATCCGTAGCTGGCTGACCGGCCGTACTCAGCGAGTGGTCCTCAATGGAACTGCATCTATATGGAGGGAAGTGTGTAGTGGGGTGCCCCAGGGCTCTGTTCTGGGCCCAGTACTCTTCAACATCTTCATCAACGATTTGGATGAAGGGATAGATGGGGAACTCATCAAATTTGCAGACGACACCAAGCTGGCAGGAATAGCCAACACTCCAGAAGACAGGCTTAAGATACAGAAGGATCTGGACAGACTTGAACACTGGGCACTAACTAACAAAATGAAATTCATGGGTGAAAAAAGCAAGATTCTACATTTAGGCAAGAAAAACCAAATGCACAAGTACAGCATAGGTGGCACCATGCTCAATAGTAGTAACTATGAAAGGGACCTCGGAGTCCTAGTAGACAATCACCTAAATATGAGCCAGCAGTGTGCTGCAGCAGCCAAAAAGGCCATCACAGGGCTAGGCTGCATTAACAGAGGGATAGAATCAAGATCACGTGAAGTATTAATACCACTCTTCAATGCCTTGGTAAGGCCACACTTGGAATACTGCATTCAGTTTTGGTCACCATGATGTAAAAAAAGAGACTCTAGAAAGAGTACAGAGAAGAGCAACAAAGATGATTAGGGGACTGGAGGCTAAAACATATAAGGAACGGTTGCTAGAATTGGGTATGTCTAGTTTAACGAAGAGAAGGACAAGGGGGGATATGATAGCAGTATTCCAATATCTCAGGGGCTGTCATAAAGAAGAGGGAATTAAGCTATTTTCCAAAGCACCTGAAGGCAGAACAAGAAGCAATGGGTGATAACTAATCAAGGCGAGAAGCAACCTAGAACTAAGGAGAAACTTCCTGACAGTGAGAACAATTAATCAGTGGAACAGCCTGCCTCCAGAAGCAGTAAATGCTCCAACACTGGAAGTTTTTAAGAAGAGACTGGACAGCCATTTGTCCAAAATGGTGTAGGGTTTCCTGCCTGAGTAGGGGGTTGGACTAGATGACTTCCAAGGTCCCTTCCAACTTTATTACTATTACTATATTAACAGTAATGGACAGCAATACTTCATACTCTCTTTAGTTATTATTAACTCTGTATGGAAATGGGAGGAAAAGTATGTTCCATCACATACATTGCAGTAAACTGATACAAAAAATAAAAGGCAGATGAATGGCCTGAATTTTAATGCAGTTGAAATTGAAAATTTGTTTAGTTCTTTCAAACTACATTTCCTAAAATGGGATAGCAATAGCAATAGCACTTAGACTTATATATTGCTTCACAGAGCTTTACAGCCTTCTCTAAATGGTTTACAGAGTCAGCATATTGCCCCTAACAACCTGGGTTCTCATTTTACCGACCTCAGAAGGATGGAAGATTGAGTCAATCTTGAGCCACTCAGAATCAAATTCCTGGAGTGAGCAATGAGTTAATCTGCAATATTGCATTCTGACCACTGTGCCAACATAAATCCCCCTTTATTCCTTTCACATCTTGGATTTATTTAAGCATATAAAATGGATGAGTCTGCTTCCTTTAATATATAATTGCAATTTAATGTAGACTTTTTTATTTTGTACTTCACAATAATATCAATAAGTAATATAAATAAAGAGAAAAGAAAACAAAAACCTTCACCTTCCTCAGAATATATATGGTGAGTATGCATGTTACCAAATTATCTGCACATTTTTTGTCACTCACATGAAGAGACTTGAAAATAATTCATTAAAACAGATCTTGCTGGAAGAATTTTCTGGCAAATAATTTTCTGAGAGCTTGCTTAACATCAGAATTTCGCAGAGAGTATATAAGAGGATTGAGGACTGGAGTGACCACAGAATAAATAATAGCAATCACCTTGTCTTCCTCTAAAGAGTACATTGAAGCAGGACGGAGGAATGTATAGATAATGGTGGAATAGTAAAAGCTGACAACCAAGAGATGGGAAGAGCATGTGGAGAAGGCCTTCTTCTTTCCTTCTGTGGAACGGATTCTGAAGATGCTCCTCAGTATAAACCAATAAGATAAGAAGGTCAGGGTACAGCTGCCTATGGCAATGAAAATGGAAGCTGCAAAAACCATGATTTCATTCAGGCTTGTGTCTGAACAAGAGATCTTGAACATTGGTGGTAGATAACAGAAGAAATGATTGATGATGTTCGAATCACAGAAGGAAAGCTGTAGTACAAGTCCTGTCTGAACTGAGGAATTTATTATACCTATCAGCCAAAGTCCAATCATTGTCCCAAAGCAAACCTCTTTCCTCATGATTACTGTATACTGCAGAGGTTGGCAGATAGCAGCATAGCGATCAAAAGCCATGAATGCAAGAAGCAGGAGCTCTGTTCCTAAAGTCAAAGTGAAGAGAAATACCTGTGCAATGCAGCCAGGAAACACAATAGTTTTTCTCTGGGTTATAAGAATTTGCAATAATTTGGGAACTATTATAGAAATTGAACATACATTTATAATAGACAAATTGATTAACAAAAAGTACATGGGCGTGTGAAGTTTCCTGCAGACACTGATGGCTAGGATGATTAGGAAGTTTCCTACCATAGCCAATCCATAAATGACAAAGAAAGTCCAAAAGATGAGCATTTCGTTTTCAAGGGAACTTGAAAAACCTATCAAGATGAATTTTGTAACAGTGGAAGTGTTCTTCATGTTCAAGTCTGTGATGCAAGGGAATAAAACAGCACATCATTTTTTGCAGAGATTCTCTTTCTTGGCATGCAGACTGTTTTTCATTCTATTAATAAACATTTCTATCATATATATTCAAAATACATGATGATAATGAAAGAAATCCATACAGAGACAGAACTTTTTCAAGGCATTGAAATCTTACAAAATAGTTGACAAGGTTTTTTTTTGTTTGTTTGTTTGAAAACCAGGTTTCCAAATGTTCCTTATCAGTCAAGGTAGTTAAATTGCTGAAAAGGTGAGAAAGTTCTAGGAAACAAGCAATAGTGTTGAAATAATGTCTACACTTGGTTAGCCTTAAATAGGATTTTAGAAGGCTTGCAGATATTAAAATTAGAGTATTACTGACACATAAATAGAATCTTATAAAATTTTAAAACTGTAATGCTCAATGGAGGGCTATTCAACCGGTTTGCATATAAACTGCAACAAGTTTTTATTTCCTCTGAATATGTAGTCCCCATATCAGACTACTTTTATACTGTCTTACAGTTCCCTAGCGATGTTCTTCAGAGATTGGATATTTCAATGAGAGAAAATAACTTTTAGAAGCCTGTATTGCATGCAGTTGCATATCCACAGAAACTTTTTTTAAAGTTTCTCCCATATTGATTACAAGAGTTATAACTATATCAATATTTATTTTGATTGACTGATTGATTAAAGTTCTGTATATGCTGCCTGTTCTCACTGTCTCAGGTAATTCTGGGCAACTTACAGTAGTATTAAAACCTAGCTATTAAAATCTTAAATTAAGAATTACAGCAATTATATAAATTTAAAAAAGAAAAGCAATGATAGTATAGGAATGGGCTCCACAAATCCTATAGGGGTGAAACAGTGTTTCAGATAACTTGGTCCCATGTCACAAAAGGCATTGAATGATACCCAATATCTTGAATTAGACCCAGAAGCGACTGGAAACCAATGCAGCGGTGTTACATGTGACATCATAAGGGCTTCCAAAACTGACCACACTGCTGTATTCTGTCCCATCTGTAGCTTACAAATATTATTCAAGGGTAGCCCCATGTAGAGCACATTGCAGTAATCCAACCAAGAGATGACCAGGGCATGAGTGACTGAATGCATGACATAGGAAAGGGTGTTATCAGTGAACATTCTTTCTATTCTGTGTTTTCAAAGTCCACCTTTCACATTTAAAAAATATCTCAGGGAAAACTATTGCTTGTACCTTCCTTTGTATGCCTCTTTGTAGAGACATCATGGTATCTGAATATCTCATCCAAGAGTTTCACTGCTCATTTACAAATACCAATTGGCAGCATAATTATTTACCTCTCTGGTCTTTATTGTTCATAGTCAATCCTAAAAGGCAACAATTAGCTATCATTTCTGTAGGTTCATTGCCAATTTAAAAGTTGTTCCTATGTCTCTTTATAAATTTTACTGTTTATATTTCATCATAGTCCCTTTTTTGTTTGTAGTGTTTCTCGATATTGTTATTAAAATTTTCAAGTCATTTGCACTTTCATCTTTCAGAATAGTGATACAAACATAGATCAGCTAATAGGTATTTCTTCTTCCAATTTTGAATAAAATTGAAATAATTTATTGTATAATTTAGCATAAGTTTGACTAGAATAGATATTCAGACAGAATCAGAGTTTCACACATGCATGATAGCTAGCTCTTCATCACTCCCTAGCCCACTTAGAAATACCTAATACCTATTTTATACATTTAACAAAGACTTTTGGCTATGGTTGAAACAGACCAATTACCAGTGGCAGATAAACTAATTGGTCAATTGCCAATTAATGACATTTCTTATAAAGTCTTTCTCTGTGTATGTGTGTGTGTAAAACTGCCAAATTTGGAACAATAAGCAGGGCTTCCAGATGTTTTCTAGTGCTACTTTCCCACTACTATTTTTTTTAGACTTTTCTATAGAAGTTCTTTTTTATTTTATATTTCAAGCACTGTTGAATTGCTATGTTTGTACACCAGTCAGTGAAGGAACAAAATAGAACATTGGAATGATGTCTGAAAGAGAGTGAATAAGATGCTTTGAAGCCAAAATACAATGAGGACTCACCGAGCACTGGAGAGATGAAACTGACTTAGAAGAAAAACCAGATAAACAATAAACAAAAAAAGTCAAGGCAAAGTATTACATAGCCAGTACATTAAAAAATAAAATAGCAGGCAAAGCATACAAAAAGACCTGAAAATGACTACAAGCAGGAAAGATGAAAAAGGAGACATATGGTATAATTCCGCTTCCACAAGACCAAGCCTTATGAAAAAAATGCATACAAAATCAAAATTAAGAAGACATCAAGAGATAGCAAATGCTGTCTCTGCAAAGAAGTTGAAGAAATAGTGGCCCACCTACTTAGCTGCTGCACAAAGATTACACAGACTGATTATAGACAAGGGCATGACAAACTAGCAACAATGGGCCATTGCAGTATTTGCACTGAAATACAATTTGCCTGCAAGCAAGAACTGGCAGGGGCACAAAATGACAAAGTAATAAACAATGAAGAAGCCAATGTGCTCTGACACTTAGAATTCAAACAGACAAGGACCTGTATATAACACACAGATTTTGATGATGACGATAACGATAATGATAATGATAACAATAACAACAATAACAACAACAATAACAATAATAAAAAAGTCTGAATAGTGGACATTGCAGCACTTGCAGACAGCAGAACAGAAGAGAAAGAACTGGAAAAAATCACAACGTATAAAGACCTGCAAACAGAAATAAAATGACTAAGGCAAAAGAAAGCATGAATAGTACCAATGGAAATAGGTCCTTGGTTAGACTCCCAAAACTATTGGAGCACTATCTGAAAACTGTTAGCATTGACAAAACTATAATCAATTAATTGCAAAATGCTGTGTTACTTCAAACAACTTATATTCTGTGGCAAAGTCTTTAATATATCAAAAACACATCTCTCTATCATAACTCCTTGGGAAGGATAGTTGGACAAAAATGCCAAATACAGTCTAAACATCTGTATAATGAACTATAATAAAATATGTGTATTGTAGAAAATAAATAAAATTAGGGTAAATGGTGTCTTCAAATGAATATTTACAATATAAATACATTATTTATTATAATGCCAATTAAATAATTTAATTACAAGAGCCTGACTATAAAAATCAATGCAGTAATTTTGAAATTTAATTACTTATATTAAAAAAAAATGGAGGGATAGTGGTGGATTGAAGGAATTGAAGGAATAAACTATACAGTGAAGTTGATAAATTTAGAAGCAAACTATATGTAACATTTAAAAAGTATTTATAAATAAATATACAGATTTCTGTAAACTTCAAATGAATTTAATTACTTCAAACATCTTTTAAGTGCTGTTTTATTAAACAGAGGCACAAAGTATGTATGTTAGGAATAGTAACAACCATCACAAAAATCATCTAAATCTCCAACCTTGCCCATTCACTGTGGTGTCACTTCATAATAATTCCAAGCATTTCAGTACAAAGTACAAAAGAATTAAAAATATGATCTGCTATGGCAAAAATGATTGTTTTTTAGATATCAAAAGCTTTCCATATACAACATTGCATCATGAAAGTATTGATATTTATTCAGTGTATATAGCAAAAGATTGGATGTCTTAAAATAATCAAAACAGCACAATGTGGTATAAAATATAAAGAAAAGCTGAGGAGCCAAACCAATCAAACTTGTGGTCCAGAAACCATTGGTTTAAAACACATGTAAATGATTTCTGTTCTAAGTTAAAAATAGAGCTTCACACACAAAACTATAGGTGATGATTTTCCCACAAGCCAACCCTTTAATTTCTCTTCCAATTTATAATAACCAACCCTCAAAAAATACTGATTCCCAAATCAGAAGATTTTAAGATAATAAAAATAGTAGTAAAGTTGGAAGGGACCTTGGAGGTCATCTAGTCCAACCCCCTGCTCGGGCAGGAAACCCTAGACCATTTCGGACAAATGGCTGTCCAGTCTCTTCTTAAAAACTTCCAGTGTTGGAGCATTTACTGCTTCTGAAGGCAGGTTGTTCCACTGATTAATTGTTCTCACTGTCAGGAAGTTTCTCCTTAGTTCTAGGTTGCTTCTCTCCTTGATTAGTTTCCACCCGTTGCTTCTTGTCCTGCCTTCAGGTGCTTTGGAAAATAGCTTAATTCCCTCTTCTTTATGGCAGCCCCTGAGATATTGGAATACTGCTATCATGTCCCCCCTTGTCCTTCTCTTCGTTAAACTAGACATACCCAATTCTAGCAACCGTTCCTTATATGTTTTAGCCTCCAGTCCCCTAATCATCTTTGTTGCTCTTCTCTGTACTCTTTCTAGAGTCTCAACATCTTTTTTACATCGTGGTGACCAAAACTGGATGCAGTATTCCAAGTGTGGCCTTACCAAGGCATTGAAGAGTGGTATTAATATTTCACGTGATCTTGATTCTATCCCTCTGTTAATGCAGCCTAGCACTGTGTTGGCCTTTTTGGCAGCTGCAGCACACTGCTGGCTCATATTTAGGTGATTGTCTACTAGGACTCCGAGGTCCCTCTCACAGTTACTACTATTGAGCATGGTGCCACCTATGCTGTACTTGTGCATTTGGTTTTTCTTGCCTAAATGTAGAATCTTGCTTTTTTCACCATTGAATTTCATTTTGTTAGTTAGTGCCCAGTGTTCAAGTCTGTCCAGATCCTTCTGTATCTTAAGCCTGTCTTCTGGAGTGTTGGCTATTCCTGCCAGCTTGGTGTCGTCTGCAAATTTGATGAGTTCCCCATCTATCCCTTCATCCAAATCGTTGATGAAGATGTTGAAGAGTACTGGGCCCAGAACAGAGCCTTGACTGAAACTTCAGTACTGACTGAAACTTCCAGTATTTTAAGAATGGTTCAAAGGGGTGCTATATCCTCTATCTGAGATATATTTGCACATAGCTAATGATGATAGAAAACTCAGGTTTTCATTATATTTTAAGGTTTCCCAGAAGAAAAGGTATAAGATGGTCTTTTGAAAATAATAAATAGGATAATGTACTAATATAATAGTCATGATAACACAATATATGCAATCCAATTTTGTTACAGGATATGGCTACAGATGCATGTATTTTTATAACCAGAATGAGACTCTTAAGTACAGTATGTAACATATGAAGAAACATTGTTTTCTGCTCCTCAGAAATGTTGGAATATTTTGTTGTTGAACCTTAAGATCTTGGAAACAATCTGAGATTTCCAGTGAACATTTTCATTGCTTCTTTAACATCTTTGTTTCTCAAAGAGTATATGAGTGGATTGACAACTGGAGTTATCCCTGAATAAATGAAAGACACAAGCTTGTCCTTATCCAGAGAATACAATGAAGAGGGTCTTATATATGTGTAGATGATTGCAGAAAAGTAAAAACTGATTACAAAGAGATGTGAGGAATGT